TTTTATGTAACTTGAACCGTTCTTCTTATTTTCTCGATATAAACCGTACTTCGTATGCGTTTCCTACACAAACCGGTCTTCACGCTTCACGCGAAATAGACCGCTTTTCATTTATTTCTTAATAGAAACTTTTTTTTTCCGATGTAGCACTTTCGACGTCTCAGGCGTCGATATATAATATCACCGTGTCGGTTGCGACGATGTAAGCATGTAAGATCAGTAAGATGGAGATGGTATCTCTCTGCATCGCATCGGGGCGGTCGAATAGTCGGGTCGGGTCGGGTCGGTCGGGGGCAGACGCGGGCGACGCGGGCGACGCGACGCCGCGCCGGTGGCGGTGGCGGTGGCGGTGGCGGTGGTAGCACGGCACCCTTCTTTTCTCCGCCACGAAAAGGTACTTGAAATAAATTGAAAATGGCTGGTATCGCTCTGGCCCCCGGACAAGTGATACCTACATCATCTACACGCACACTAGCCTCCCCCCCTTTCATCGCCTTTCACCCTCTACTCCCTCCCCCCCCCACTCCTCTACCAACGCTCCGCGTTCTTTCATGAATTCGAAACGCGTGGCGACGTTCGAGTCAGATCGGAATCCGGTCGAATCACTTCAATTAATTCAATCGAGGGTAGGTAGGTAGGTAGGTAGGTAGGTACGTACGTAGGTAGGTAGGTAGATAGGTAGGTAAGTGGGTGGAGGAGGAGGAGGAGGAGGAGGAGGAGGAGGAGCGAGGGAGAAATAAATAGTGCGTGTCTCGGGAAAGTTTGTATGAGAAGCTTGTTAATCGGGACTGTATTCCTCGGAATTGAATCACAAGATTAATTCCCCGTTTGTGACGTTACAAGTATCAAATCATCATATTCATCGAGGAGGTAAGTGACGTGAAATATATAGGTATTTTAGCTTTAAAACAAGTCCTTTTAAAATATATTTAAACTTGTATGTCACTATTACTCAATGATAAAAATTTAAAAAGTCAACAGTTACATCAATTAACGAAAGTCATCTTCATAGTGTTACAATTGTAATACTAGACTTTTCGTTAAAAGATCGAAACGTTTGTTACTTATATGTTTAAGTATGAAATTATTCATTTAAGCAAAGACATCCAGCGATCGACTCCCTCTGTTGTTGATTTTTGAAAATTATGTATCTATCGCAAAGAGTCAATGCATTAAAAATTTTAACATTTTTTTATTCTTCGAAATAGAAATCTCATTTCTTGTAAAGTCTCAAATCCAATATATATTGCCTCGTATTCTCTCACTCCTTCCGTTCCTTGTTGTACGCG